GATAATTTTGACCTCAAAAATAAAATTAAGGCAATGAATGAAGCTTCTTCCTTTGACCAGAGTTCTACTTGCTCCTCTTGTGAGTCTTTAAAAATAGAGAATGTAGAACTTAAGAGCACCATAGAAAAACTTAAGGTAGAAGAACCTAAGAAACTTGGTGAAGAAGTTAATAATGATAAACCACCTAGAAGAACAAATAATTCTAGGAATAACAAAATTAATTTTAGGAAGAATAAAAATAATAAGTTGAGACAACCTAGAAATGACTCTAAGATTTTTATAAATGATAGAAATAATTTGAGGCAACCTAGAAATGAGTCTAGGAACTTAATTAATAACTCTAGGAATAATGACTTTAGATCACCTAGAAAATTTTTGGCTCAACCTAGGCATATGCATAATCCAAATGTAGTTTGCCATTATTGCTCTAAGATAGGACACATAGCACCCGTTTGTTTTACCAAACACATGGATTTGTTTTATAGCTATGATTATTATTTGCCTAACCCTCAAGGACCCAAACGTTTTTGGGTACCTAAAAATTATTTTTAGATGCATATGTAGGTGTGTTTGAAGACTACATTTTGTAGTGGATGCTCCAAGCACAAAACCTAATGATTTGCATCAAGGGGAATTTGGGGGGAATTGTTTTTGCTATAAACATGGTATCAGTTTCAGGGGAAACATACAACAATGATGTTTTGTATCAAACATCAATGCTCAGGGAGTACCTTTATTTTTGTAAACTTTACTTAGTGCTTTTTGCTAATGCCAAAAGGGGGAAGTGTTTGGGTATATGCAACAAGTGAGCGGGAATCTTGTTTTCAAAGACGCAGGGGGAATTACCATTACTCTCTCTTTGAAAACCCTTGGCCTGCATATCCCCGCCTTGGTTTGTCAGTATCAAAAAGGGGGAAATTGTTGGAAAACATTTTCACTTTGACATTTTGCTAATGACAATGCTTGTTTCTGTTTAGGTTTTGATATTGACAAACCGTCGGGAACATGGAACAAAATGAAAAGATAGAAAAATTTCTTTGAAGAAACAAAAAGCACAAGAACGGCATTGACGTTGCTAAAGATGGAGACATTGGCGCTTTGAAGACGTATTCTAAAGACTTAGGTTTTATTGTAACAAGCTCATTCAATTTCTCTACGTCATGGCTCAAAACAAAATATGTTTTTCATGCATCAAATTAGTGTTTTCATAAATGGTTTTTAAGTTTCTAAAACCCATGATTCTTGCTTAACCAAAACCATAACCATCGGTTATCGGCGTTCGGCTATGGCGTTTGATTTTCGGCATTGGTTATTGGCATTGATTTTAACCAAATGGTTTTTGGGTTTTTATCCTTGGTTTATGCTTCTGGACACATTTAAAGGTTTTCCAACTGATTAGTTTTCAAAAAACAGAACCTCTGTTTTTCGGTGTTGGTTATCGGCATTCGGCGCTGGTTATCGGCGTTGGTTTTTGGTGCCCAAATCAATCAAGTGGTTTTTACGATTTTATGATTGGCTTTTACTTCTGGGCATATCAAAATAGTTCTAAAACAAAAACATGTTAAAAACCACCTTTCGTTTTTGGTCTTTTGGTGAAAACCATGTGAAACCGCATAAACTTGGCTAGCCGTGGTTTTTACCTTAATGAAGTGGTTGTTAAGTTTTTATACTTGGTTTCTACCTAAAATAAATTATATAAGAGTTTCCAGCACTTGGTTTTCATTTTGGAGAACTTTCGTTTTTGACATCGGTTTTCGGCGTTGGCTGCCAAACCATGGTTCTGGCAAACCATCCCAACATGCATGTCGGAAATCCCAACAGCGATGTTGGCCTTCAGAAGCCCTGGGCAGTAAGTTTTTGAACAACGATGTTCATGGTTGAACAGCAATGTTTTCAAATGACCGTTGGGCTATTTAGGACAAAATCTTTCCATTTTTGAAAGTCAAACACCCCAACACCGATGTAGACTTCTAGACATCGATGTTTTGATGACCGTTAGCCATTTTTAAAGGAAAGTCAAAGCCAGAACAGCGATGTTCACCATATGAACAGCGCTGTCGGGCTAGATTTCAGCAGATCCACTTTTATTTGATTTCCACAAATCAAGCTAATCAACCCCAATCTTTTCCCAACCGTTGCACCTTGTTTTTGGGTATAAAAAGGGGTCTCTTGGGTCTACTTTTCATATCCATTCCTCACACATTTCATAGCTTTACATTGCATCATTCCATAAACTTTTTACATAACTTTTTAGAGCCATTTCTTGAGGAATTGAGTGTGTTCTTGATCTAAATTAGTTTACTCATATTCTACTCTTTAAGAGAGTTTTTGTTCTTGAGTGGTTAAGTGTTGTGAACACTTTAAGGGAGGTTTGTTCCCTTGGTTGTACGAAGGAAGGGCATATTCCTTCGAGTTGAAGTCTTGGAGTGCGGTATCTCCGAGCAAGTGTATTGAGGATCGTGGGACTCGAGTTCTCAGGTTGTAACGAATTGTTAAGAACCCGTAAGCTTAACGGAAGTAGTGTAGCTCGAGAGAGTCTCTCGGGAGACTGGACTAGCCACACGTTGTGGTGAACCAGTATAAATCTTGGTGTGCTCTCTTTACGCTTTTTTACGCTCTTTACTTTTTACGTTCTTTACTTTATCCCTGCGATTTTTATTCCGCGAAAATTTATAAACATTCTCGTGCCTCACTATTCACCCCCC